TTTTTTTTTTTTTTTTTTTTTTGTGTTCTAGCGATTTTGAAGAGCACCCAACATTGTTGGTGAGAATCTAAATTCTTGGGTGTTGCTTTATTTTTTTGATGTATGGTGCTTTCATTTTTGAATTGGGTGTTGCTTTATTTGTTCACCGCCCTAGCTCATTTGTTTTGATTAAACTTTGGACAAGGTTGTTTAGTTGAAGTCTTAAGCATCTTCCTCCCCATTTCACGCAGATCTGTATGGGAGCATTAACAAGTTTTTTCATCTTTCTATTAACAATTTTGCATTCATTACATCTTTCCCTACGCCGCATAGAGGCAAGATTTTTTCTAATAAATATTCATGTTCAACTAAATCTGCACATCCAACATCTAGCTTTCAAGTAAATTCTTCTGATCGGAAATTAACCCACAAGATTTTTTTTCCCTTGAACATTTCTGAATTGTTTGGTTATTTGATTTTTACTCTTTGCTTTGGAATGACCTTCTTTGACTTGTTGACTTTTGTATGTTGATGGTTTGTGTTATTGTGTATGACAATTTAATTTTTATTTCTTAGTTCAAGTGGGAAGATAGTTTAATGATGAAGAGAGATGTGTTGTGGTGCAATTGATTGTAATTGTTTCAAAGTATGAGGTTAATGTCATTAGAAATAATTGATTGCAGCTTTTTGTTAGATTTTTTTACTGTTTTGTGTAGTATGTGTGTAATGTGTTTTATTTTTTAGGCCACTCAAATATTTTTATAAAGGCTATTGGTTTGATTTGGCTCCACTAATTGTAGTAGCTTTGTAAGATACATACAACTTTAAGAAACAATATATACATATATCTATATATATATATTTATAGGGTTGGTAGTCAACTTAATGTGGGATGAAAACTGAGTTTCCCACCCATCAGGATAACACAAAATTATTTTATTAGAAAAAATGAGAAATATTAAAGTGCAATGTGATAAATAACAATGAATCGTTTCGCTTCATGCAAACCTATATGTGGAACACCCTTATCCTCAACTAACAGTGAAATACAGTAATTCAAACAAGCATTTTATATACAAGAATCTTATTGACCTGATTCTTAAAAGTTGAAACACTGAGCATAAAACAGAAAAACCATCAATATATATTTGTACGAATCATCAAGAATAATTGTTAATCAAAA